CTTACACCAGAGTATTTATTTCCTTCTTTCCTAAAAACTCCTTTAATTTATTATGCTTTCACTTTGTGCAATTTTTCTTTTCTATGTTTCTTTCACATTCCTTTTCCTTTCTTACTTGTCACTTTTCTTGTATCTTCGTTTCCTTCCACTCCTCCTTTCACGATCCGTTTCGATTTCTTTACCATTGCTTAATTCCCGAAGAACTCAATTCTTCCTTCGTCCACACTTTGTTCTTCTGTCGATCCGAGCGTTTGTTGTTAACATGAACTCCTCCCCAATCGCGCTTCCACCTCTCACTTCTCCTCTTCATCACCACCTTTCTCAGCGTTCCTCTTACTTTCACTCTAGTTATATCCCTTTCTCTTACCGCTGCCATTTGTTCCTTCTTGGACTACTTCCCACCCGCGGCTAAACTACTAACACGATGTTCACTATTACGACCAATATTTTCACTGCCAATGACAATTACTACTACGACTATTATCTTCTACACTGCTACTACTACAGCTACTATTGCTGCTATTACTACTGCTATCACTGTCATCTCTCTCTGATCTACGATAGCTTCCAAGGACACAGACAATTCTACTAGAACTACAGGTGCACGGCCGCCACCACGTCCACACGACGAAGGACAAAATTGCAACCATCACTGCCACTGTCATAGCTATTCTCTTCCATTGACAACCTTCTCAGGCATTTTGCCCAAGTTCTTTCGACATTTTATTAACCTTCTTTCTTTCTTTCTTTCTTTCTTTCTTTCTTTCTTTTCTTTCTTTTCTTTTCTTTCTTTTCTTTCTTTCTTTCTTTCTTTACTAACATTATATTTCTTTTTTCTTTCTTTACTAACTTTGTTTGTTTCTTTCTTTCTTTACCTTTTCTTTCTATCTTTGTTTCTACTTTACTAGAATTCATTATTTTTCTTTTTCGCTATACTTCTAGTCTTTCTTTCTTTACTAGTGTTTCTTTCCTTCCTTTTTATTAATCTTTTCTTTTTTTGTCCCGTTTTTACTAATCTTTCCTTCTTTCTTTTTTTTACCAATCTTACTTTATTTTTTCAGTAATGCTTCTTTGTTTTTTACGTATCTTTCTTTCTTTCTTTCTTTTTTCTTTCTTTCTTTTATACTAAGCTTTCGTATTTACCAATCTTTCTTTTTTACCAATCTTTCTTTCTTTCTTTTTTTTATTAACTTTTTTGACCAATCATCTTTCTTTCTTTCTTTTTCACTCAGTTTTCTATTTTGCTAGCCTTTTTTCTTCATTTTCTTCATTTCTTCCTTTCTTTCTTTCTCACTTTCTGTTTTACTCTTTCATTCTTTCTGTCTTTATTAATATTTCTTTCTTTCGTTTGCAACCCTTTCTTTCTTTCTTAGACCTTTCTTTCTTTCTTTTTTCTTAGACCTTTTTCTATCTTTCTATTTTTCTATTTTACTCGAATTCATAGTTTTCCTTAATCTTTCTTTACTAACTTTCATTCTTTTTTCTTTCTTTCTTTACTAACATTCTTTCTCTCTTTTCTTGTTTTCAATCTTATTAGCCTTTCTACTTTCTTTTAATCTTATCCTCATTTCTTTCTTTCTTTCCTTCTTTCTTACTTTCTTTTGCATAATTCCGTGGTTTTTTAATACATTCTTTCTGTTTAAGTAACCATTCTTCCTTTATCGATCATTGCTTTTTTTCTATCTCTTCTTCATTTCTTTCTTTCTTTGTTGAACTTTCATTTTGATTTCTTTAATAAAATCTCTTATTTTCTTTTTGCTAACTAAATTCATTTATTCTTTTTATCTTCTTTCATCAGTGAACACGTATTTTTTATCACGTATGATTCTTTCTTTTTTTTCTTTCTTTAATAAGCTTTTTTCTTTGCAAAAATTCCCTTCTTTCTCTCTTTTCTTTTTTACTAGCCTTTTTCTTTTTCTTCCATTACTGACTTCCTTTTCACCATTTCAAACTTTCTTTCTTTCTTATTCATTTTTCTTTTTTCTTTTTTTATTTCTTTACTAAACTTTTTACTAATCTTCCTTCTGTCTTATTTTATGAATCTGTTTTTTTTATTTTGCTCGCCTTTCATTCTTTCTTTATTTCTTTCTTAACCTTTTACTTTAACAACTTTCTTTCTCTCTCTCTTTGTTTTCTACTTTATTGACATTTCTTTCTTTCTTTCTTTCTTTCTTAAACCTTCTTTGCTCACCTCCTTCCTGTCTCTCTTCAGTACTGATTTCTATTTTGTTAGACGTCTTACTCCTTTACTTCATCGTTTTTTCTTTCTTTCTTTCTTTCTTTCTTTCTTTCTTTCTTTCTTTCTTTCTTTCTTTCTTTCTTTCTTTCTTTCTTTCTTATTTATTTCCTAACATTTTCTCTCCTCCTTTGTTTTCTATTTTATTAATTTTTCTTCTTTCTATCTTAACAATCTTTTCTTCTTTCTTTCTTTTTTCTTTCTTTCTTTCTTCTTTTTATCTTAACAATCTTTTCTTCTTTCTTTTTTCTTTCTTTCTTTCTTTCTTTTTTCTTTCTCAACAATTTTTTTTTTCTTTCTTTTTTTTTTTTTTTTTCTTTTTTTCTTTCTTTCTTTCTTAATCCATTTTTACTCAGCTTCCTTCTGTTATCATTTCTTTTTTATTAATGTTTTCTATTTTGTTACCCTGTTTTACGACATTTCTTCAACGTTCTTTTTTTCTTTTCTTTTCTTTCTTTCTTTTTCACTTTCCTAACATTCTTTCTTTCTTTTTTTCTTTGGTTTCTATTTTATTAGCATTTTTTCTTTCTGTCTTTCTTTATTTCTTTCTGTTTTAACCTTCTATTCTCTTTTCTTTATTTCTTTCTGTTTCTTTGTTTGTTTCTTTCTTTACTAATACATTTTTTGCTCACATTCTTTGTGTCTTTTTTATTACTCTTTTCTATCTTATTAGCCTTCCTTACTTCTTCCCTTCATTTCTTTCTTTCTTTCTTTCTTTCTTTCTTTCTTTCTTTCTTTCTTTCTTTCCAGATTTCAAAACGCACTAGATATTCTATCATTTTCCAAACTCTTAGTGCAATTCTTATAATAAGAAACAGATTTCATTTCGTCGACGTCGGCTCCTGTTAATTTCCTACGGGATCGATTAGCTTTATTTGAACTCAGCTAAAATCATCTTCTCCAATCGCGACGGTAAGTAAAGTGTATCAGGTTGTCTGAGTTTGATCTTAGGCAACAAATCGGGTTGGGAAGTAAAGTAATGTCAAGTCAGCGAAAATAGAAACTGATGCACCAGACGGGGTGCCTCTCAACAACAAGAACATCGATAACAACAACAACAACAACAATAATAATAATAATAATAATAATAATAATAAATGTTAAAGCAGCAGTACTACGACAGCGCACCATTCTTTGCTTAATCCTCTTTTAATTTATATAATCAACATACGTATGAGAGCTGTCCATCTATAGACAGATTCTTGTTGCCTCATGTAGCTGCGCGTTATTTTCACAAGTCTTTCATACTAGATTGTGTTCAAGACTCTTATTCTTCTTCTTCTTGGTGCCGCGTTTCTCCAAAACGTAGGCGATCATAGCTCTCCACAATTTCCTGGCTTTCGTAGCTCTTAATAAATTTGGTCTTTTTGTTATCTCTCCTAAGCCTTCTTCTACCATTCATTTAATCAAGCTTAGTTGTTAGATAGTTTATGGTGATATTTTACTAATCTGTCTTAATATTTCTTTCTTTCGTTTAGAACCCTTTCTTAGCCCTTTCTTTCTTTCTTTCTTTCTTTCTTTTTTTCTTAGCTCTTTCTTTCCTTCTTTCTTTTTTTCTTAGACCTTTCTTTTTTCTTTCTTTCTTTAAACTTAAACGTAGCTTAGATGTGGCACAAGGCCGAAATGAGGAGCACCCGGTGATGATCGAACTCACGACTCCGTCGTAACCATTAAAACACGTTGAAGTACACAAAATAATTTTCTAAACGTAACTTAGATGTGGCACAAGGCCGAAAGTGTGATCACTGGGCAGGTTATGAGCTGTTTTTCTCTATCCTTCTTGCCTTCAATCTGACTCGTGAGTATCAAATTTTCTGAGCACTCTTTTCTCACTATGTGCCTTAGAAATGTCAATTCTCTCTTCCTGATGTTGAGTATAAGTGTCACTGTCATTATCGTTTTCTTTAAAACTTCGTCGTTGCTCATATGTTCGGCCCATGGTATCCTCAACATCGTTCTGTAGAACAACATTTCTGTTGCTTGAATTCTCTTTTTCATCTATTGCCATGCCACACTGAGGGCAAAACTCCTATTGCATTTTGACTTTAATAAGCTAACATTTAGTAGATATCCATTAAATTGTTAACCTCCTATGGAATAGTGTTTAGCAAAAAGAGAGTATTACTCCGTTCGTCATTTTAGCGCTCCCTTCTGTTACAGCCTTGTGTCAGTCTAAGCCAAATCCAGTAATTATGCTTTTGCCCAATGTCACATATTGCCACGTTGTTGAATAGTGGCGTACGTCAGCATGCCAGTCTATTTTTCAAAATCGTATAAAAATAAAAAGGTTAAGAAAGAAAGAAAGAAAGAAAGAAAGAAAGAAAGAAAGAAAAGATAGTTAAGATAGGAAGAAAGAAGAAAGAATAGAAAACAAAGAAAGAAAGAGAGAAAGAATGTTAGTAAAGAAAGAAAGAAGGAAAGAAAGAAAGAAAGAAATGTCAATAAAATAGAAAACAAAGAAAGAAAGAGAGAAAGAATGTTAGTAAAGAAAGAAAGAAGGAAAGAAAGAAAGAAAGAAATGTCAATAAAATAGAAAACAAAGAAAGAAAAGAGAAAAAGAATGAAGAAAGAAAGAAAGAAATGTCAATAAAATAGAAAGTAAAGAAAGAAAGAAGGAAAGTAAAAGAAAGAAGGAAGAAAGAAAGAAATGTCAATAAAATAGAAAACAAAGAAAGAAAGAGAGAAAGAATGATATTAAAGAAAACTGGTTAAGAAAGAAAGAAAGAAAGAAAGAGTAAAAGGCAAGCAAAAAAAAAAGAGTTATAAAATACGACAGAAGGAAGATTAGTAAAAAGCTTAGTAAAGAAATAAGGAAAGAAAAAAGAAAAATGAGTAAGAAAGAAAGAAAGTTTGAAATGAAGAAAAGGAAGTCAGTAATGGAAGAAAAATGAAGAAGCCTAATAAAAGAAAAAAAAAAGAAAAAGGAGAAAAATTTTGCAAAGAAAAAAGCTTATTAAAGAAAGAAAAAAAAAGAAAGAAAAAAAGAAAGAATCATACGTGATAAAAAATACGTGTTCACTGCTGAAAGAAAATAAAAAGAATAAAGGAATTTAGTTAGCCAAAAGAAAATAAGAGATTTTATTAAAGAAATCAAAATGAAAGTTCAACAAAGAAAGAAAGAAATGAAGATGAGATAGAAAAAAAAAGCAATGATCGATAAAGGAAGAATGGCTAGTTAAACAGAAAGAATGTATTAAAAAACCACGGAATTATGTAAAAGAAAGAAAGAAGGAAAGAAAGAAAGAAAGAAAAAAGGATAAAATTGAAAGAAAGTAAAAAGTCTAATCAGATCGAAAACAAAGAAAGAGAGAAAGAATGATAGTAAAGAAAGAAAGAAAAAAGAAAGAAAAAAGGTTAGCAAAGAAAGATTAAGGAAAACAATGAATTCGAGTAAAATAGAAAAAATAGAAAGAAAGAAAAAGGTTAAGAAAGAAAAAAAAAGAAAGGTCTAAGAAAAAAGAAAGAAAGAATGAAAGGGCTAAGAAAAAAGAAAGAAAGAAAGAAAGAAAGAAAGACAGATTAGTAAAAATGACAGTCTGAAAATCATTACTTAAAGCCGATATTCTTAGATCTAATATTTTTTCTATAATTTTATTTTTCATATTCGATATTTAAAATAAACAAAATTGAATTAAATTTATAATTTACTTTTTAAGAATACATTACAACCAAATTTAATTCTATCCTGATGTAAAAACTACCACAAAAATGCGAGAAATAACAGTTTTAACAACAAATGAATATAACTTCGCTTTAATTTGTGTCTTTTATACACGTGTACTCTGGCATTAGGCTGTATGTATAGGACTTTTGTGTCTTTTATACACGTGTACTTTGGCATTAGGCTGTATGTATAGGACTTTTGTGTACTTGCTTAATGGATACGGATAACAAAATGAAATACTTGCATTATTTACATTATTCGGACTGTTATCCTCATCTTCCTTGCCATATACACAATGTTTCGGCCGTTGTACGCTCCGGACTTCTTCAGGTGATTGGAATTTCGAAACGAACTATTTATTTCCTCAAGGGCCAGCGGATAAAGAGACGTTGGTTAGATCCAGTGACGAGACCCGAAGAATTGTTAGTTTAATACCAGGCCACGTGCAGTGGAGAAACAAACTTGGAGAGTTGAGTTAAAGGGAAATAACTGAGACATCGGGAAGAGGCATGGCACGTGGAACTAGAACAATTTAACCCAGTGGACGAAATAAAGGCTTCGTTCGAATTTCCAATCACCTGAAGAAGGGCGTAGTTTAAAACGTCCAAAACGTTGAATATGGCAATGAAGATGAGGAAAACAGTCCGAATAATGTAAATAATGTAATAATCATAATACCTCATCTCCGAGATATAGACAGACATTATATCACTAGAAGCTAGTCACTGGATCTAACTAACGTCTTTATCCACTGGGCCATGTGTCCTTGTGAATATGGCAATGAAGATGAGGATAACAGTTTGAATAATGTAAACAATACAAATAATCATAATACCTCATCTCAGAGATATAGACAGCCATTATATCACTAGAAGCTAGTCACTGGGTCTAACCAACGTCTTTATTCACTGGGCCTTGTGTCCTTGTGAATATGGCAATGAAGATGGGGATAACAGTCGGAATAATGTAAATAATGCCTCATTTAGATATATAGAAAAAAGAAAATGAATTAAGTAGACAAAAACAGACAGCGGCGTAAGAGAAGGATGCTTCTTCTCACCGGACTTATTAAACCTACAGAGTGAGCTGATTTTGAGAGAACGAGAAAACCTACCAATATTTATTTTGGGTGGACATAATCTTAAGATTAAATACGTAAATAACAGTGTTGATGATTGACATAGAAAGAAAACTGCAGTAATTTCTAGACAAGGTAATAAACGAAAGTCAGAAGTAAGAACTGACGATAGATTTTAATAAGACATATAGAGTGGTTTAGCATGAAGAACAATCTCAAATGTAAGCTACGAATTGGAGACGTCAACGTTCAGCAAGTACAACATTTTAACCATCTGGGTAGGAGAGAAATCCGAGAGCTCCTTGGAAGAGCCAAAGATGCCTCCCAAAAGCTAAACCAAAGTATTAAGAAACAGGAAAATATCGTTAGAAACAAGGAAAAGAATGCTGAACTGATATGTAATATCAATCCTTTTATGTAGCAGTGGATTTTGGACATTTTTACTCAGTTGAATAGGAAAATTGTTGCAACAGACATGTGGTTCTACAGAAGGATTCTGAGAATACCTTGCATGGAGCATTTGAGCAACGAGTAACTGTTACGGAAAATGATACAAAAAAGACACATAGACTCAGAAAAGATACATTTCTAAGGCGCATAATGAGGGAATGAGGCTTGGAAAAATTTAACACTCACAAGACAGATTGAAGGTAATTAGAAATATATATATATATATATATATATATATATATATATATAATTTCATTTGATGAAAACAGACAACTTTAAGGGTCAATGGTTATAATTTATTTCCTCAGCGAGTTTCTTTTCCTGGCTCATCAGACCACACTTACAAGTGTGGAAAATGAATTAAATTTATATAATTTTTATATATTACTGAACTATATATATATATATATATATATATATATATAAATAATAATATATAAAAATATATATATATATATATATATATATATATATATATTGGAATATAATATATACGTACTTAAGCTTATGTAAATGGTTCACAGAATAGAATTTGAGAAGAATATTAAAGAGACAAACACTGTTTAAAGCTACAAAAAATAGGATGTTGTGAAGGGCTGTAATCGGCCACGTTCTGGAGCGTTTTAATAGAAGAAAACTGGAGTGTAATTATTTGTTTTAGAGTAGCAAACTTTCGTACTAACAGTATTTATGGTAACACGGAAAGACAAGCCTTGTCATGATTGAGCATTTGGAGCAGTACATTGGCTTATAACTAATCGTTGTATTAGACTGTTGTGCTGGCATACACATGACTAGATTTTCCTAACAGTGATCCTATTATGTAAATAATATTTCATTCGTTTTACTGTAAAAAAATCTTTGTTAACACAACACAGAACATTTGTAACAAATTCTTCCTTATTCAGTCTTTTTTGAGAACTATAAAGAAAAGAGGGAAGAAAAGACTAACTGTAAATTGTAAGAAGACATAATGTGTTGTTGTCAGCAGAAGGAACAACCTCAAATCCAAACTACGAATTAGATACATCAAGAAAATATTAAACATTTAGGAATATCTGTCTATACTTCTGAGATGAGGTATTATGTACACTATTTACATTATTTGGGCTATTGTTCTTATCTTTGTTGCCATATTTATCTCAACGTTTCGACCGTTGTACGCTCCGGCCTTCTTCAGCTTGTTGGAATGTCGAACTGAACCCTTTATTTCGCTTGCTGGAGTAGACTGTTCTAGTTCCACGTGCCATGTCTAATGGATGTCATTTATCAGTCATCTCCTGTTAATTCCCCACTGTAAGTTCTCCATCACTTTAACCAGGTATTGAATTCAAATTTTTTGGGTCCTGTCACTGGATCTAACTAACACCTTTATCTACTGTTCCATGTGTCCTTGATGAATTAACAGGAGATAACTGATAACTCACATCCATTAGACATGGCACGTGGAACTAGAACAGTCTATCCCAGTGAGCGAAATAAAAGGTTCATTTCAACGATTCAAACATTTAGGAAGTGTTTTAACAGAGAATGGAAAATGCGACACCAGAATTTGAAGGCGCATTGGGATAGCGAAATATGCCTTTCAAAAACGAAGCAAAGTATTGAGTGATATGAAACATTCGTTAGAAATAAAAAAAAAAAAAAATGAGACTACTGAACCAGTATATAGTATCAGTCCAACTATATGGCTGTGAATGCTGGACATTCTCCTTACAGATGAAAAAGAAAAAATGTGATTCTACAGAAGCATACTGAGAATCTCATGGAATGAATATGTGAGCAATGGAGAAGGTTTATGTAAAATGGAAATAAAAAGGAAATTTACTTAGAATTAGAAAAAGACAATAGAAATTACTAGAACGCATAATAAGGTAAGAAGGCTTAGAAAATTTAACGCTCACAGGACGTGGTGAAGGCGAAGGAGACAGAGAAAAGCAACGAATAGACTGCTTTACGAGTTTGTGTAATTGGTTGACATAACATAGATTATGACAGATGGCAAAAATACAAATATTGCCTAAGAGCTACAAAGGACAGGAAGTTGTTGAAGGACATGCCGCAAAGAAAAGAAGAAGAAGAAGAAGAAGAAGAAGAAGAACGAGAAGAAGAAGTCAGTCTCCCTTTTATCTATACTGGTTTGGTGGAAAATATTTTACAAGTACAAGACACATAGAACAAAAAGTTAAAAATGAAAAGTAAGATAAACAGTCAAGCATCTATGAATAGATACCCTTACGATATATATATATATATATATATATATATATATATATATATATATATATATATATATATATATATATTATTATTATTATTATTATTATTATTATTATATCAAGCGCCCTACGAGGCTAGCATCCCGCTCTCACCCTTTCACTGTTGAAACTATTAAATGTAGCCGTCTCTTCTACTCCAATAGCTTCATATCTCGCACCTCTCGCCTGTAGAACTCCCTTCCCTATTCCAGTTTCCCTGAGAGCTATAATCTCCAGCTATTCAAATGTAATGTCAATCGACATCTCCAGTTGCCTTGATCTATCCACTAACCTTCTCCTCATCCTTTCCTCTATCACTCCTATCTGATCTTGCTTTAAATTTTCTGAGTGGCTTCCCGCCTTGCTTGGGGTGAAACGCTTAAAAAAATAAAATAAAATATATATATATTATCCGATCTCCCACGTGATAGGAAGACTGAGTAAAAGTATTTATGAGGCGAATAAATGTGAAACAATTCCTTACATCATCGACATTACACAGATAATCATGAACACCATGAAGAATCTCTTGAACAGAATCAGAGAAATACTTCCTGGAAGGGATCTTTGGTAATCAGGTGAAGTAAACATTGAGATATTAACCTGAGGGCTTTTGAAATTGGCAAGCTAGGTCAGTTTATACGGCGTTGTTTCTGTAATTAACCGAGGCTCAGCTTGTACTTATTACACCCAGAAATAAGTCTATTTTACTTATATTGATGATTTAGCAGTTAGGCATTTAAAACAATTGAATGATTATTGGTAGGCAAAATTTGAAAACATTATAGACAGAAAAAAAAAGAAGATGAACAGGCCGAGAGAGTTCGCTAGAGATATTTATGAAAAACTAGCTAGCATGGTAGATAGAGAAATATAAATATAGATAGATAGAGAGAGAGAGAGAGAGAGAGACAGACAGACAGACAGACAGACAGACAGATAAATAGGAAGACATTAACAGATGGAGATAGATAGAAATGATCAGAACAAGACAGACACATATATATATATATATATATATATATATATATATATATATATATATATATTTATGAATAAAAATGACAATAGGAAAACTGGTAATTGCTGACGCGTTTCGTCCAATGTGGACTTTATCAAAGCAAAATACGAAAATGAAATTAAATGAACAAAGTAACTAATAAAAACAAAAACAGAATGTAGCTACCAACTGGAATGTAGAGAAACGCTATTTTCATATTTTTTAACTGAAAAATAACGTCAGAGATTGTCACGTGTGGAGAATATTGTCATTATATCTGTGTTGATGTATTCAGCCATTTTTCTTTCGATTTTATGAATCTGTTGTGCATATTTGTTTGTAAGAGTATTAATTTTGTTAAGAAAGGTGAAATAGGGAAAAAGCCTGGGCGTAAATTAATATTTGGATAATTTTCTATGGCGGCACTCTCCAGAATTTTCCTTCTGAGTTATTTTTTTATGAGTGTAGCATTTTTAAAATCAAAATTATGGTTGTATTTATTTCTATGTATGACTATTGCATTAGCTAAGTTGTTTTTGTGAGGTCTCTTTTGTGCTCATAAATGCGTTTTTTCAAACTTTACTTGTTTCTCAATATATTGGGAGGAGCAGTTTTGGCAATTTATTTTATAAATGCCTGCTTCAGAAATATTAGTGCTATTATTGTTTGAAGATCTTAGTATATCTATAATGGTTTTGGAAGTGTTTGTGACTATTTCAAGATTATTTAGATGGGATAGGTTATTCTGGATCGTGGAAGTGGCAGAATTGGTCGCTAGTATTATGTATCTGTTTTCATGCGATTTACTATTGCGGATTGTGTTATTAGTTTTGTTTCGTTTGTATATTTTGTATATTCAAAAACCTACAATACCCATATCATTTCATCCACAATGCAAGAAGAAAGGCATACAAAATATACAAATAGAATTTATAAACAATTGTCTTGTAAATGGAATCTTTAAAGCATTCTGAATGTAAAAATAAAGAAAAAAGTGTGCAAGACAATAAGAAACACTACCTGCCAAAAAAGTGAAGTTTTTTGAAATCGGTTGAAAATGTAGGAAATCCGATCCCATATATAAACGAACACACACACACACACACACACACACACACACACACACACACACACACACACACACAAAAAACAACCTTTATAATAAGTATAACTCGATATGAGTTGTCCCCTTTCATTCTCGTGATGCCTCTTAATCATGTTTTCAAATTGATTTCGTGCAAAAACAATTGTGTTTTTTCAATTTTTAGGGCTGTTAGAACCACCGCAAGGTATTTTTATGTAGTCCTGTGAAGTTTTGTTGAAATCGGTTGAAAAATGTAGGAAATCCGATCCAATATATAAACACACACACACACACACACACACACACACACACACAACCTGGGTTTTATAATAAGTATGATCATTTCTCTCTTTCACTCTCTCATATAACCTATGCTTCATCTTCCTCTTTTCTTCTCACTTATTTAACTCTTCCTTCCTCTCCCTTATTATATCCTCTTGTTTTTTTTATTCTCGAACTTGCCTTTAGTTTCTTTCTCATTTGTTCTTTCCCTTTCTATTTCTTTTAACCGTCTCTTTTCTTCACATTTTCTTTTCTATCCATATCTCTTTTTTCCTCCCAATTTATTCGTCTCCTCCTTTGTTTGATTTCAGCACTGTTTGCTTTTTTAATTTATTCTCTCCTCCTTTTCTCCCCTCTCTCGTTCAGCCATCTCTTTCTCTTTCACAATTTATTCGTCATTACTCTGTCTTTTATATTTCTTTCAATTCTCCTTTATTTACGTCTCTCAGAATTCGCAAATATTTCTTTATCATTCCTCTTTTCTATCTGTCTCTTTCTTTCTTTCTTCTCTTTCTTCGTTTGACTTACCGAGTTTTTTTGCAACCCACTTACCCTCTCTCTTTTTCTCTGTTGTTCACTTTCACATCTTTCTCTCTTTCTCTCTCTCTCTCTTTATTTTACGACATAATCATCTTCTCTATCATTTTTCTTTTTCTATCTCCCTCCCCACTCATTTACTACTTCTTACTTCTTCTATTTTCTTTCTCCCTCTCTTCTTTTCGTGGATTCTTTCTTTCCCTCCCTTTGTATCTTGTGTCAATTTGTTTCCCATAAAGTTTCGCCTTCTCATTCTTACACTTTTTCTCGATTTATTTTCTTATTTCTTTTCCTTATCTTCTCTTTTCATAATTTTATCGTTCACTAATACTCCCAATATATATATATATATATATATATATATATATATATATATATATGATACCTGCTCAGGAGTGTATGGACAGGTCTTTCTACGAAATTTTGGAGTCGAGATACTGGAAGGAAACATCAATCAGTTAGTGACAAAATTTATGAAACTAATCCTATATATATATATATATATATATATGATAAAATATATATTTTAGGGTATGCTATGTTTATGGCTTAAAGTGCTTAATATCAAGGATAGTGCGTATGTAGATCTAAAATTGGACATTGAATTTAACACCCAGAAATGACTATTTGTTTAATGTTTTAACGCAATCGTATGGTCTGGCGATTTGCGTTTAAACATGAAACGAACTACCGCCTCTGGCTGCTGATTCAATGTCCAATATATATATATATATATATATATATATATATATATATATATATATATATATATATGTGTGTGTTTCATTGAATTATATAGACATATTGCGACTATTTATTTTTATACTGATCCTTTTCAGTTTTTTGATGTTAAGAGGAATTTTAACATCAAGGAAGTGATTAGAGAACTTGAAAAGTTTAGTATAAAAATAAATAACAACTAATATATCTATATTATTTTAATCAATGAATCATGTTTGAATGAAGATATGCTCTCTTTACCTACACACACACACACACACATATATATATATATATATATATATATATATATATATAATCAGGCCTGACGATTGCGTCTAACATGAAACAGTCTGTCGCCTCTGGTGGTGAGTTCAATATTCACTTTCATATATATATATATATATATATATATATATATATATATATATATATATATATATATATATATATATATTATGTTATAAGTGAATATGTTGTGGTCAGTGTAATGCTTTTTTTTTATTACTGTCGAATTATTCCGATTATGATTTTCTATTTACTTTGCCAATGTCTCTCAATGGAACGTACACCAAAGGACCAATCCTCAAATTCGTCCACGAACAACACAAAAGCTCAGAAATAATTCTTATGAATACGATCCATTTTGGTAATTACTTTTGTCCATCCTGCCATGGAGAATATGTAGGAAACCTACAATACTCTGTAACCTGCAGTGATAGGTCAAAAAGCCAGAATGACTTTAATATATGCCATCGACTCTCTCCGAGATGAAAAAAAAATGCTTAAATCAGCAAAAGATCTAAATCAACAACCGCCATTTGCTTTTATTTACAGGAAAAACAATTCCAAAACGTCTTAAATGAAAGTCATTGACATCGCTAATTCACACTGACCTTCTATTCGTGGGGATGATTCCCGAAAACTACAATTTTGAAGTACCTCTATTTACTGGGGCAAATAAAAAAAAAGCATGTCTGAAATGAATACCATTGATATTGCTAATTTACTTTGACATTCTTGTCATGGAGACCGTACTCAATATCTACAATCCTCGCAGATCTTCATTACCAAAACAAAACTCCCAAATGCGTAGTTATTACAAAATTGAATAACTTTATCGTCTTAACGCAATCAACTTAAAACATCATTGCATAAAAAAAGAGTAAATTAAATACGAAGTTGATACGATCACACTGAAACAGATAGGTAGATATGAACACACCGAGATAGATAAATAGATAGATAGTAAGAGAGATATGAACAGAATGAAATATAGACTGAGATAGATAGATGGAAAGATAGATATGAATGCAATGAAGCAGAGGGATATGAATTGGCTGATATAGATAGATAGGTATGAACAGACTGAGATAGATAGATAGATAGATAGATAGATAGATAGATAGATAGATAGATATGAAAACAATGAGGCAAATGGGTATGAATTGGCTGGTATAAATAAATATATATATATATATATATATATATATATATATATATATAGATAGATAGATAGAGAGAGAGAGAGAGAGAGAGAGAGAGAGAGAGAGAGAGAGAGATAAACAAACCGAGATAGATATGAAGGCAATGTGGTAGATGAATTTGAATGGGGTGAGATAGATAGATAGATAGATAGATAGATAGATATAATAATTGGGCTCATTTACAACATTTTCGAATCTGTAAAACTCAATCAAGGGAGACAACTATTGAACTCTAAATATTTTGTACTGCGCCATATTTTTTTTTATTGATCTGACGTGGCACAAGCTGGGTGAGTAAGTCATAAAAATTCCTTAAGTTTCTCTTTTATTCTGATTGTTTGCTAGAAACAACAGTTTTAAGAATACGACTTTAAGCATTTCGAATTCATATTTTCTTCTGTGCAGTGAAACTCAACAGAGCAGATTCCTGGGATTTTCAAATAGAGTGGTCAGGAAAAGAAGTAACTAAAAGAATGAAACACCCATGCGAATATTGCACGGTATCTAATGCATTGCTATTTTGACGTGAATGCCGTTTGCTCAAGTTCGAAAGGGGCAGCTCTGTGGTTTGGAAATATTCCAGTGAGCGGCAGACCTGAGCCACCAAATAACATACGTCTTGGATTCTGGCAAGTAAAATAATATATTTCATCTCGCTAATACATTTTTACATCGTTCCTGTCTATTTTATAGCATAGTGCCCATAAAAAATAATGGTATTTATATACGGGCAAATTAGCACTTCTGCCTCGGATTAGACAATCTGTGAACTCTGTCTAAGATAAAGTGTTGATTTTATCTCGAACCAATGGGGTATCTTTGAGCTTTGTAAAATGTGTTACAACCAACACACACACACACACACACACACACACACACACACACACACACACACACACACACACACACACATATATATATATATATATATATATATATATATATAATACAAATATAAAATTTGTCAGTTAGCTGATTGGTGTTATCTCCAGCATCCTGAGATTAGAAGACGGGCCCCCCAGCAATCACTCCATCCATTCGATGTATCAAATATCCAATTTTATATTAACATACACTCTATCCCTAATATACAGCACTTTAACTCATAAATATAGCATAACTTAAAACTATATATGTGAAAAGTGTATATAAATATATATATGTATAATTATTTATATATTATAATATATATATATTTATATATTATATGCGCGGTACTTATTAGAAAGCACTCAATATCAGAGATAGAGCTAACATATTTGGTTGGATTGTGAGTTTGTGACCCTGGGTTTGGCGATCGTCAGACAAACACGATCGCCAAAGCGTGAAACCCAGGGTCACAAAACAGCTATATATAAAATATAAATATATATATATATATATATATATATATATATATATATATATATATATATATACGTTAATACGCTAGGAATTTTCAATTCATATGGTGTGCAGATACAAAGTTAAAAAGTTAAAATGAAATATATAAAACGGAAAAGAAGACACAGCCGTTGACAATAAGATACTGAGTTAACCAAAGAAAACCCGTGTAATGGTAAGTGGAGGCGATATACCAAGTTTAAAAAAATTGTTTTGTTTTATAACTAATAATTTATTATTATATTTATTTAATTTTTTTTAACTTTTTTTTCTTTTTCAAATTTTTTGTGTCATAATTTGATTTCCTTTCATTTTTTTTTCATAACCCCAACTTTGGGTTGTGGAATTAAAATCTGCATTAAGTTTGTGTTAACTCTTTCTATTTAAGCCAGGCAATATCTGTCTACCCTTATCACTGTACAGGTTTTGTTTGGTTAATATCTTGTTGTCAACGGTTGCGTCTTCTTTTTCTTTATTAAATTTCTAAGTTTATAACATTGTATCTGCGCACCGTTTGAGTTGAAAAATGCTAGCGTAACGATAGGTGAAATAGCTATTCTCTTGAGGTAATTTTTGGATTTTCTCTATTTTATATATATATATATATATATATATATATATATATATATATATATATATATATATATATACACACACACACACATATATATATATATATATATATATATATGTAAATATTATAGCAAGAAATTTAACTTTCAGATGGCACGACAATTTCTCTTTGAAAATAATGAATACTATAATGTTTATCTTATAATAAAAATACCCTGATGATGACATGGATATGCCGAAAGTACTGGGAAATAAAACAAATATGTATAAACACTGCGATTTCCTCTTGACTTTCAGAATGACATCAAACAACTTATCCGCAAGTATGAAAGGATCTAATCGAAAATAAGTAGACAGAACATGTCAAAACTATATAACGAAACACACACACACACACACACACACACACACACACACACACACACACACACACACACACACACACACACACACACACACACGGTGGAGTAATGGATAGCGGCTTGGATTGAGGAATCGCAGAGCCGAGTTCGAATTCCAGCCAGCTATGGGTAAAATAGCAGGACAGACTGAGTTCTGTAGCCTTGGATGGCAACTGGTCTAGGAGAAGGTCAACTCTGAATTCAAAACCTGCGGAGGGTCGTTTGAGAAACTTGTGGCATTCGGTGCACCAGGTCTCTGTATTCGTCTCTTCAAAAAGTGTGGATGGTCCTGCACGAGGCCTTCACCCCTCATAATCAAATCTCATGTGCCGATGTCGGGCTGTCGGTTTCCTGAAACTGATCTGTTTTCACCCTCATACGTCGAATCTCGACGGGAGAGTCGATTATATATATATATATATATATATATATATATATATATATATATATATATATATATATATATAGATAGATAGATAGATAGATAGATAGGTAGATAGATAGATATGAAGAATTGCACATTGAGTGTTGGTGTTAATAAAATTGTAATTTATATGTAACAACAGAGCGAAAATGTATATTACTAATAAATATACATTTCTTTCCTCACCGGTAGAAAAATTCATCCACGTTGCAATCGCTAGGTGCTGATTGAAAACTGACTATTGTAAATTATATAATACATTTCTATTCTGTCGTTAAGGCCCTAAATCCTATCGTCGAGTAATTGCTTCTTTTCCGGTTTTTTTTTCCATTTAATTAATAAGAACCTATTTCTGTCAGTAATAATTTAATTTATTTCATTTTTTGTTTTTCAGTGCTATTCTTCTATTGACAAACAATTCTCGGTATGACGATAACCTAGATCCGTTAGCAAATCCTCTCGTCGGGAGCCTTTGAGGAGCGTGGATCTACCTCGAAATTGCTGTTGTTCCCAGCTCCACCATGATCTGGGGTGGTAGCACCTGTTAGGGTCCCAGCTAAGGGCAAATAGTGAACTCCCAAAAACAAAACACTATAAAAAATACAAGCAATACATTTTTATATAAACAAGTTACCAGCAATGCCTATTTATAGTAAAATGACCAACAATACATTTTATCTGTAGTTGAAGGCATACAATTACGTTCAAAATATATTAAGTATGTCGAACTGAATCCTTTATTTCGCTCACGGGAGTAGACTGTTCTAGTTCTACATTTCATGTCTAATGGATGTCAGTTATCTGCTGTTAATTCCCCTCTCCAAATTCCCCACCTCCTTAACCAGGTATTGAACTCACACTCTTTGGGTCCTGTCACTGGAACAATGTAAATAGTGTGCATAATACCTCATCTTAGAAATATAGACAGATACTGAACGAAGTTAATTTTATATTATTTAAACAAGATTCCTTATTTTACTGTAAGAATAATAGGATAACAACTAAAACAATCAACAAAAATTCAGTGTAACCCGGATATAAGAGAGTTGTCGGGACCGGAGAAAATCTCTCTTATATCCGGGTTTCTCTTATATCCGGGTTTCTTATCTCCGGGTTACAATGTACATTTTTCTTACTACAAACGAAATACAGTAGCAAAGCGACATCAAGGTGATCATCACCCAACCTTGTTCTTAAACGACTTTTAATATATTTCATTTTTGAAAAAAAAAAGTTGTTCACAATCATATGTACTTCCAAATAAAGATACCATTCTCGCATTATTCAATAGGCTTTTATATTTTCCGCTTGTAAAAAAATATTTATGGTAGAAGTCAGCTATGGATTTGGAATTAAATTTTGATTAAAAAAATTGACATATTGTTAGTCAATTAACTCCAACTGATATTTTCTGCCACTTGCTCCGCAAATTAATTAGATAAGTAGTTTTCAGGTTTTAAGTTGGCGGACCGGAAAAAAAAAATCCTCCACGGTCCGGATGTGACCCAGGGGCCGGTAGCTGCCGACCTCCTATTCTAGAAGATGCTTTTTCTGACCACAACATTCTTAACTTCTTCAGGTCTTGAGCTAACCGGTATCTTTCCCACATATACTCATAAGATGCGCTTCTTACCTCTTAATTTTGCCGCTCGTAAAACAACCACTTTCACTAACCCTCTACCATGACTGGCTCTTGGGTCTTGTATAGGGTGAAAATTATTAACAAAAAAAAAACACAAAAAACAAAAACAAAAAACACAAAAAACAAAACAACTAAAAAACAAAAGAAAATATATAGCCCATTTAACTAAATGAAAAAAAAACAAAAACAAAGATATAATCAGTTTCTTAAAATTTCACACCAACAAAATCGAAATATTTGGCAAGGAACACCTATCAATACTAGAAAACGTTTGAATACTTTAAAATGGCTTATTAATACATAAACACGCACATACACATACATACATACATATATATGGTGTAATAATGACAATTGAAAAAAAAAATTACTTTTTGACGACGCGTTTCATCTTCCGACTTTAGCACGACAAACAATGAAAGACAAATTGGATAAGACAAATTGGTAGAAATCTTCTTCCCATTATACTGTCTTATCCACAGAATTATTCTGGGAAATTTATTTATATTGTCGATATGGAAAACAAAAAACAAACTCTTAGTATAAAGAAACTTACCATTATCCAATAAGAGGCTTACGCAAGAGCGTTTCTCTTTTTAAAATTTTGGATGTAATGCAAATATAACAACAAAACATTTCCTTTTTCATTGTTTGCCTTGATAAAGTCGGAAGACGAAACGCGTCGGCAACAACTAAGATTTTTTACAATTGTGATTTTTATACCAATTTGTCTTAGCCACAGAATTATTCTGGGAAATTTAATATATATATATATATATATATATATATATATATATATATATATATATATATATATATATAAAAGGCTCAAACACTAATATTTCATGTTTATAATTTATTACATTGGAATCGTAATCACGATCCAATTCATCAGACCTACAAATTCAAAAAAAGATGAATGTGTCTGATAAATTGGATTGTAATTACGATTCCAGTGTAATAAATTATAACCATGGAATATTAGTGTTTGAGCCTTTTATATTATATTCTTACTCTGTCCTGGACATTGAGTTCTACCTAGATTTTATCCTGGTGGGATATATATATATATATATATATATATATATATATATATTGATATAATATATATATAAAGAAAAAAGCGAAAATAGACGGACAGACAGACAGACAGATAGATAGATAGATAGATAGATAGATAGATAGATTTTATATTATATTCTTACTCTGTCCTGGACATTGAGTTCTACCTAGATTTTATCCTGTTGGGAATATATATATATATATATATATATATATATATATATATATATATATATATATTCTAATATCTAATATTATCTCTCTCTCTCTCTATATATATATATATATATATATATATATATATATATATATATATATATATATATATATATATGAGAAAAGAGAAAGAAAAAGAAAAAATAGACAGACAGACAGATAGATAGATAGATAGATAGATAGATAGATAGATTTTATATTATATTCTTACTCTGTCCTGGACATTGAGTTCTACCTAGATTTTATCCTGTTGGGAATTTTATATATATATATATATATATATATATATATATTGACCACTAATATCTTATATCATCTCTCTCTCTCTCTCTATATATATATATATATATATATATATATATATATATATATATATATTGAGAGAAAGAGAAAGAAAAAACAAAAAATAGACAGACAGACAGATAGATAGATAGATAGATAGATAGATAGATATGGCCAAATTTGAATACGTAATTATATAATTTACTTCAAGCGTTATTAGAATTAAAAGATTTGAGAAGCATGATTTCTTGAAAAAAACTTCTGCGCTTTTCAACAGGCTATAACGCTGACTGTCCAATGTCTCCTGTATAGAAACAGCTATTTCCACCATACTGTTGCCCTTATTCATTTATTTTTATTCCCGAAAAAGTATTTTGTATTTAGGTCTGTTTGTTGGTTGGTTGTTTTAGCGTGCCTTAAACTCATCTCACACCTCAAATGGAGCTCGTACATACAATCTACTGGTAAAAAGGCTGGAAAAATGGTCAGTTCCCTCTGACATCTCCAGTAAGTACCTGACACTTCCTGCTATCTTCTACCATTACAAGGGCCATATCATGCCTAAAATTGGAACACCGCTTTCATATAGGAGCCGCATAGTCTTGATAGTGTCTCCGCGTTCTTCAGGGTTGTAAATTATTTTCCACTGTACAACCTCTTTCTGAAATGTCTTTCAGGGTCGTTGCAAGTTTCTCGCTGATCTATCCACGGAAAATGTTCAAATATTCTACATTCCTTAGTTCTACTAGTTCTTAGCTCACCCCCGACACGCCTCCAACATTATAGAAAACCACCCTCATTCCCTTCATATTTCAGAGTGATGTAAAAACTACTCGTGCAGTTTCTTCCCGTGAGCCACTGCTCTGTAGAACCGACTCCCAAGATAGTTTTTTCCCGATCCCTAAAATGATCAAGTCTAGGATTAACCGTTATCTTACCCACATATCCTCGTAAACTGCGCGTTTTAATATGTAACCCTTTACCTCGAGTAGCTCCCCGGGCGTTGTATAGAGTGAAAGTCACTACCAAAATCTAAATATGTACGAAATTTTATTTTATTTTGTAAGGTAATTGTTATGGTCCGGTTCCTTGTACCACGGTGATAGTCCAAGGTAGAACCAATAAAGAAGAACTCGAACACGTATATGGAATAATACAGATATATTACAAACAGGAATATATACAGAGAAGTAGAAGTGTTAGTATGAACAATCAGGTTTAGTAGAGAGAACAACCAGTATCACTATTCCAATGTCTTGCAGCAATTGTCTGAACACGACTCTGTTTCGGACTGCCTCTGACTCGACTCTAGACTCGACTTGAACTATTGACTGGCTGACTCCTTGCCTACTCCTGAGGCGCAGTATTTATTAAGTATGGAATAGTTCATTATCATTATTTTGGGTAAGATCCCATAACAGTAATAATGTTTTTAGTGATACAAGTCTTACTAATTAACCTGTAGCTGGTGGAGGAGAAGAAATAAGTGTATACAACGAACCTAACTGGAAATAGAACTTGGCTCCCCGATTAACAATTTATAGCCATTATCTATTATACCACGCAAACATTCAAGCTTACAACACCTAAAATTCCCAAGCGGTTACCAATCTAGTTACTGACTAGGTTCGACCTTGCTTAACTACGGTGGTCGTACGGTGTTTCAACGTCAGGGTTGTGTTTATGTCTTTCGTATTATAAAATGTGACACTTTCAAAACACGTTATTATCAATAATTTTTAATAAGATTAGATATCTTAATTTTAAACTATTTTTCACATATAAATATATCAGGAATATTTTACAAACCTCGGTCTTTGAAACATTTTTGTGGAAACTTATGACTAGAGTAATAAAATCGCAGAAAGTGACTATATACATAGTCCGAGTGTGTTAGAATGATTTTAATTAAAGAAAAGACATTTTTTTTACGGAGATCGAACCTGTTTACCCCTCACTACAAGACACATTTATTAAACATCGCCATTTTCTTTCATAAAGTGAGCATCAACACTCATTGAATTGCTTAACGACAGTAGTTACAACACAAATATTTCCCTTGTCTATAGTACAAATATTTCTGTTTGTGTGCGTGAATTAATAAAGAAATGCGGAAGGGTAATAGAAAACTATAACGCCAAGAAAAGAGACCACGAAGGAACATTAACAAACAGACAGACAGATTAATAGATAGATTGTGAAGAATATTAACAAATAGACAGATTAATAGATAGATTATGAAGAATATTAACAAATAGACAGACAGATTAATAGATAGATTATGAAGAATATTAACAAATAGACAGACAGATTAATAGATAGATTATGAGGAAACAGCTCGCTAGCTAACGTAGTAGATAGATACGAGCAGTCGTAACTAGCAATATATACATCCTAAAGTCGAAAGCCAGGTTCGAAACCGGACATGGGACTCTTGCACCGACCCTATATACATACATACATACATACATACATACATACATATATATATATATATATATATATATATATATATATATATGTGTGTGTGTGTGTGTGTGTGTGTGTGTAAAGTGTGAGTATATATATATGTGTGTGTGTGTGTGTATGCAATTTTATATATACAAAACACGCACGATATGATTACACATATATAGAGACGCACACACGACCAAATACATGTATATATATATATATATATATATATATATATATATATATATATATATATATATGTGTGTGTGTGTGTGTGTGTATAAATTCATGCAAGCATACTTCTTTGAATAATCTAGACATATGTCTATTTATTCTTATTTTCATCCTCACAAATTCACAGATCAGTTTCTTAGTACTGTTACAAAACTGACTAAGAACGACGCCGTAGTTTTGATTCTTTTTTATTTTATCAAGTCAATTTACGTGAAGAATATATTAAGGATACAGCTTCATTTATTTCTTTATTATTAAAGCTGTAAAATACTCAACGTAAATTTTTCGAAAAAGTTTTAAAACAAAATTCTCTCTTCACAATTTGAGCAATCCCAAACTTTGCTTTTATAGGCATTTTAAAACACTCATGCTATAATCATAATTCATTTTATTTAGTGTAAGTTTTTGTTTTTCATTTTCATGGTGGAGTATACTTGTATTGTCGATTACTATTTCTCTAAAACGTGAATATGGGCAAGAATTTTTTAAAAATATTTTGCAATATAACTTGAATCTAACATGTCTAAAGTAGGCCATCTTGATAATGTCGTTGTTGTGAAACCAACATATATATTTATTTTTCGTCACAGATACAATCTCCCAAAAGACATTTAAATTGATATACATTGTTGGTCTTTTGCAAATTATTTGTTGAAGGAGAAGAGTTATTGCGGATGATTACATTGGTTATACTAAATTTAGTATAGGATATAATTAGTTTTAATTTTTTATTAGGATCAGTGGGGTATATATTAGTACTTATAAGTGTTTTTAAGATGACAATCCAAATAACATATATGTACAACGTGATGGCGTTTCCATGGGTTCACTTCTAGGACCAAGATTTAGTAACTTCTATGTGGCTAACCTTGAAAATAAGATATTTCATACCTCTAAATCCTTCGATTTACCTAAGATATGTAGATGATATTCTCGTCTTAGTTAAAAACATAGACAACATACATAAACTAAAAAAAACTTCCAAAAATCTCCCTTCTTAAGCTCACATATGAACTTAACAATAAGACAATTCCTTTACTTGATATATTGATAGACACCAATAATAATACATTTACTGTCTCCCCCCCCAAAAAAAATATATATCACATACACATACACTTTCAACTATAAAAGTGAATGTCTTGACTATCACAAAACAGCGATTATACAAAATTTAATAAACCGTGCAAAATTTAAATCCACGAAAAAAAAAAAAAAATTCTACGCGAAATTAAAAAGCATTAAACAGACTCTCGTTAATAGTGACTTTCCTAATTACATTATTAATGAACAAATTAGACGAGCTATAAGGAATATTAACATAAGTAAAAAAAACAATCAGATAACACTAAACATATCAACCTACTACAGTCAAATACACTAACTACAAACAAGGTAAAAATCTTAAAAAGACTCATAAGTACTAATATAACCCCACTGATTTCACTTGGAAAAATAAAAGAAATAACTAAAACTACGGCGTCTTTCCTAATCAGTTTTGTAACAGCACTAAGAAATTGACCTGCGAATTTG